AGAGAGAGAGAGAGGAATGTTGCAAAAAGCTTCGACAGGGTCCCCCTTTATATAGGGTGGGAATGGTTCAGGTAACAACAATCTTCAATCACGCAACATGGGTGGCTCGCAACTTAGAGAGAGAGAGAGAGAGAGCAGCTTAGAAGGAGAGTGGCGCACTAAGAAAGACGTTCGCACGAAGGGTCACACCACCTGCATTCCTGCTCATTTTTAGCGACAGATTCGTCATTGAAGTTCATCCTAGAGAGAGAAAGTATATCACGCAAAACTAACGCACATGGTGGAACACCAAAATGGCAAGAAAAAACGTACTGGAATACCAAAATGTAGTAGTGGAATACTTTGATAGCGACACGTCCACGCTTGAACGTGCGGTCATAGATCATTACCGCTCAATCGACGAGTTGGACAGTGATCCAGAGAGAAGGACGTGCGAAAACAAATAGTTGCCGTTCAGTAGGGGGCCCACCTTAAACAATAAAGGCGAATCATTTGTCAGAAAATGAAGTTTTGGTAGGGGTAATTTTTGCAGGACTAAAAATCTGTTTTCATTCCTATTTATAAATTTTAACAGCTTTAACTATAAGCAGACCTATAACTACTTGAATATTGAAAATGGGAGGGCCTCATGTCCCTATAAAAAACAATATTTTTGAGAATTTTGAAGTGAAAGTATACGAAGAGATTATTCTTTTTTTTTTAATCTTACAAAGCGATTATTCTTTTAGTATAAGGAGGCTACAATTATTTTTATCTATCAGATTTTAAATCGGATAGTTATGAGTGTATCATTGACTAGACTCCATATTCAAAAAATAATTTCTCGAACTTTGTAGCATATCCCAAGCCATTCAATTTGAAATCTAATAGTTAATACCAATTACGATCTCTTTATATAAAAAATAAATGCGTCATAGTATATAATCCCACCTAAAAACTCATTTTATATCTTTCTACCTTATATAAACTTTTTCCTTTAATAAAAACACAAGGCCTCTAGCACTGAACCACCACTGAGGTACCAAAAAAAAACCACCACTACTACTGCAGTACGATCGTAACCGCTCCACCACCATCGCATTGTAACCAGCGCTGCTATTCTCCCACCAAACATTAACAAATTCCAATTGAAGTTAAAACAACCAATACGCCATGGACCAGAATGGTAATCGACTGATATCATTTGGTCAATTATAATTATAGTTTGAACTGTGAACCATAAAAAGTGACCAAAATTTGAAATCAAACCACTATCAAAAAGGTTTTGGGAAAAGGGCTAGGCTGTGGTGGTAGCACCCCAACACCGTAGTTTTCATTCCACTACTAATATCACCTTATTGACACCTTGAAAAGGCTAATTCTTAATCTACTTAAAAAAAAGGGTACGGGCATTCTTAATCTACTTAAAAAAACGGGTAGGAGCATGTCTTCCCAGTGAATTACCAAAAAAGGAAGATGAAAAAAACATTATCGAAAGGGTGAGGTTTGTATAAGGTGCCACTTGGAACTGTACAAGTAAAGTGCACTTCTAAATTTTGTTGGAAGATGTAGTTTTGGTGTGAGAACTCTTACTATAGCTTGTAAATCCATGTTTAGCCTTAATTATGAAATTCAAAATTTCAAGACATTGCAATTGAGCAGATCTATAATAACTTAAAAATCTTAAAAATAGATAGTCCAGAAAATTTTTTAGGATTTGAAACATACATCTCAAAAACTACACAATTTTTAGGATTTGAAATTCATGTTTTTTTTTTTTATCCATACATCTGGAGATCAATGTGATCAATTGGAAGTTTTTCTAACTCCTTAACACCCTTTTGTATTAGATTTTTGAGATACATTTTACTTCTATAATATAAAGTTGCATCCCTATAAAAAAAAAAATTTACTACTAAAACATTTGGCGAGGGACCTTTTACCCCACAAACGCCCATGCTGTCCTATGTGATTAGATGGTGCAACGAGGACTTATTAGATTTGTGAAAGAATACTGCCTTGTTGGAATGATGCAGGAAAATTGGGGCCATTATAAAATGTGATAAGGGACGCATATGCACACATGTGATAGTGGGAATCACAAAAATGCCACCTTTATTAGGGGTGGCAACAGGGCGGTGCCTGCCCAGCCTGACTCGGCTATAACCAGGACACAAAGCCCTGGCTCAAGCCCGGCCCTAGCCACATCAATACCTGGGCCAAATCAAATCGGGAAAAAAGAAAAAAGAAAATAACAAAGAAGAAAACATCGAAAAAGAGGGCATGCCGGCCCATACCGGGCTGGCCTCAGCCTGATCCCATCTCGCCCTACCCTCGGGCCATGGTGCCTCGGGTCACATTTCGTGGCCCAAACTTTATAGGGCCAGGCTGATCGGCCCTGGCTAGGCTACCCAGCCCATTGCCACTCCTTATCCGTATATTTTCACTAGTTCACGAATTAAAGAGGGCAGATTTGGCCATTGATCTTTTAATAAACCATTCACTCCTTTCTCTCTAATGCCACCCAAATGGGCGACCTAACCTCTCCCTTGTATTATCATGCCCCATTTTTTATTTGGAAAAGTTTACATAAGGTTTTGACTTTATACTATAGAATTGAGGCACACTTTAAAAATTTATTAGAAAAAGTTCTTCTGATACTAGACACTTTCTGAATTAATTATTTTGATCTTGAGATGTATGGATATTGAAAAAAAAAAAAAACGGATTTCAAGTCATAAAAATAATGCATCATCATATGAAGCAGTATTTGGACCGTCTATTTTCAAAATTCTATTTCTTTATAGATCTACCGAATCTGCATCATTTCTGGAGCTTTGATTTATAATTAAGGGTAGCAGTAAATTTGTATGGCATCACAAGATTTTTCAGGATCAAAACTACATTTTACAAGATAATTTTGATGTGCGCCTTATTTTGATTGTTTAAAGTTGCTGCCTTGTACAAACCTCACCCTTTTTAATTTGGATGACTTGTCTCCATTGTATTATTTTAATGGGATTATATGGCATCTTAAACCCATGAAGCATGCAACAATTTTCCTTGTTCGGTTCGGTCGAATCAGCCAACTCAGAATTGGTGGGGGATTGGTTCTGTTTACCTCTGAACTAGCGTGTTTTAGTTTTTGTAATTTTAAAATTTTTATGCAAAATCTAATCCATAATTTTCAATGTTCTTCCTTGTTTCTTCACAAAAAATAATGAAATTAGAGCCAGAACTTGTCTTGCAGCCCTGTTTTTATTTTATTCGACTATTTTCAATAAAAATTCAAAATCGAAGAAATGTTGGAGTCAAAAGTTTGGAAGTTTTTTGAAACTGAAATAAACAAGCGTCAATTTCTCTTTAATTGTTACATCAATATATGTGAAAGTTGTTGCAAAAATATTCGTATCACAATGATATGCAATAATGCTAAATAAAATGTTTAGAATTGAAACAACAAAATCTCCAACCCTAACAAAATGTTTTTTTCTCTATTTATCATCAATTTTCGTCGATTCACCTCTTCTTCTTCTTTTCTCCCAAGATTACAAAATTGTTATATTTTTCATATCTAACTCATTTTTTTTTTATTTATGTGCCTATTAGGTGAAACAATAGATGAAAATTATCTTGTTCTTTTTCCCCAATTTTGGGATCGATTTTTTAATCCAATTTACATGTACATTTGTTTGCACTAAAGCTGATTTTGGAAGTTAATTTTTTTGTTTTCATCTCGATTTTTGATGTTTTAATGTTTTTGTCCTCTTCAAAAAATTTGTCATCCCCCAAAATTTTATCTTTTTTCAAAAAAAGACATATATACCCATCTTTATAATTATAATGCAAATAAACTCTTAGGTCTAAAAAAGCCAGTGGACCCCATCTAAGTTAAAAGAAAAGAATGTTAGCCCCCTATTTGCAGTTTTTTAAAACTCGCTATGTATGATAAACATGATATCCCAAGTTCTTGGGTTATTAGAAAAAGAGTCCATGTAATTTAGGTAAGGGAGTAAGGAGTTTAATAAACATCATTTTCTTTTTCTTTTACTTTGGAGGGGTTTATGAGCTTTTCATGGACTTGAACGGTTACAATTATAGAGGGAGGCAAATATATTTTACTTTGTTTTTGGCTCTTTCATTTCTTCTTTCCGAAGAACATGGTTTGTCAGCTTCGACCCCCTGCTCTGATTAAAAGATAGGAGGTTACTCCTTTTTCCAGAAAAATAAATGTTAGAAATAATTTCGGCATAAAATTACCTGCAGTTCCTATGCGGGGAACGTCTATAACCGTTGGATCTGCATCCAACACTAAGATGTGGGTAACAATTCAAGTGGTAACTACCTTAAAAATGGGTACCCCTATCTTCTTGTAGCTGATAATTCCCAATAAATATTGCTAATGAAACCCAGCCTTCCCAATAAATATTGCTAATGAAACCCAGCCTAATTGTAAAGTTTCTTTTGAGTTTTAGGGACCGTTTTGGTTCTTCTAAATCTATTACGTAACAATAGATTACAAAAAAATATGACATTTTCACTGTTTGGGTACACTTAATCGTACGTAAATGGAAAGAGATTATGCGGAA